GGGGGGGGGGGGGAGCACTACAGTTTGCTGGGCTTTTATTCTTGGGAGAACGTTACCCCTATTTAAATTCTCCCTGTCCCTGGAGAGGCCAGGAGGTACATTAGCACTAACTGGTGAAGTCGGAGGCTTATTGGATGCCTTCTCCCCCAGCCTTGCAACTCCCAGACCCACGAGGTCAGGCTCCAGGCGTGGAGGCATAGAGAGGGCAAGCCACACAGAACCGGGCCACCCAGGGCTGGCTCATGGGGCAGCGGATGGTGCCCACCCTTCCAGGGTGAGTTTGAGCAGGGCTATCCCGAATTTACTGGCAGGCCTCCGGGACTGAGTCCACACTCCCCTGCTGCTTCTGCAAAAGGAATGCTCAGAGCTTTAATGACACCTTCGCTCTGGGTCTGTGGGCCCCTAATTACCCTCATCTCAGGGCAGCTGCTGCTAGATTGTTATTTTTCAAAGCCTCTCATTGGCTGTACAGGACTCTAAGAGGACAGCAAAATGGGCTGATTGGAGCAATAGCTGAAGAAACCTCGAAGGCCCTCATGACAGGGTCTAGACAGGAAACCGTGTCTGACTGCCTCCCAGGGGCACCTGAAGAGCCAGCTTTTCACCAGGAGCACCAGCTGGAGGTGGCAGGAGGAAAGGAACAGGGCAATTCCAGTCTTGCCTCTTGACTGCTGAGAGGAGGCCGTGGAGAATTGCAGTGCTGGCTTCATGTCTCCTCAGAGTGGTGATGTCTTCTAGCTCACAGAACAGTGTGTCATGTGTGTGTGCCTGCTGTCCCACGCAGTCTTTCCTCAGCCTGCCCCTGGGAGAGGACCCTGGAGACTAGGTCTGACCACTGAGGACAGAGCCCTCCACAACCAATGGAGCTCAAACTATCCTCTCTGCAGGCTCGGCAGGAAAGCCACTTAGGGCTTTCTATGAGCCAATATACTTACTGATTTATGAACCCTTCTGATAAAATTGAGCCTCCCCTCCTGGGAATTTTTTTATTCTAGAAAATTCTGACTTTCACCCTATCTACTCAACTGAAACTCCTGTCCTGAATTTAGATCACCAGTATTGTGTTGTGGACCCCTGTGCCTCTCCTGCGCAGACTCCCAGGGCTCATCCCAGCCTCCAGAGTCTGGCCCTCCCACCCACTCACCCACCCACTCACCCACTCACCCAC